TGGCAGCCAGATTTCTAGTGCTTCTTGCTGGTGGTAGAGATTTCAATACATACTTTGTTCTCACAAATTGTAGTCATACTTTCTGACCTCTCTGTAGGGTCTGTGAGGGACAAGTAAAGAGAATGACCACCGTTTGGAATTAACCCTCCTCCATCAGACGTGGAATGACTTTCTGGATGGCATCTCTCAAAATCATCTAACATGTATACTATTTATAGCTACGTGAAGACAAGGGAAGGCACAGGAGGGAAACATCACAAAGACGAAAACAGTAGGAAGGACAGGTTAAGAAGAGTTTTTTGAAGGAATAAATGTTTTGAAGGGCTGCTGCATAGCAGGGAATCCAGAGTGCAACACACATGCTCAGAAAACATCTAAAAGATGAGCTGGCCTGTGCATCTAGCTGATCTTTGGGATCCCTAAAATGTTGAAGTGAAGGCTATAGCCAAGCCTTAGGATGCCTAACAAAGTGTTCAGAGTGCCTTGGCTCAGAGTGCCTTGGCCAGTCTACAAAAAATGAAGGATTTTTTTTTCCTTTCCCCATTTCTTTTTGTGTTGATGCCTTTTGGGAAATCTCTGTCAAGTCACTGATATGAATTGAATTTTATGTTCCCCCAAATTCCTATGTTGAAATCCTAACCCTCAATGTGATGGTTACTGGGGCTTTGGAAGGCAATTAGGTTTTCAGGGCATAGTCCTCATAAATGGAAATAGTGCTTTTATAAAAAGGACCCCAGAGGGCTTTCTTTCTCTGTGTCTACCATGTATAATGAGAAGATGACAGTCTGCAACCCAGAGGAAGGTCCCCACAAGAACTCAAAAATGTTGGCAACATGTTCTCAGGATCTCAGCCTCCAAACCTATGAGAAATACATGTATGTTATTAATAAGTCACCCAATTTGTAGCCTTTTGTTATTACAAAAGCCTGGAGCTTTGAGGAAAATGGAAAGATGACTTCAATGTATATAACTGACCAGTAATTTAGCCTGCAAAAATAGCATGAATAAGTAAATCACCAAAAAAAATGGTGGTAGCAGCTCAAAATAAGAAATTACTGAGGGGTCGGCGCTGTTGTGCAGCGGGTTAACGCCCCGCCTGAAGCGCCGGCATCCCATATGGGCGCCAGTTCTAGTCCCGGCTGCTCCTCTTCTGATCCAGCTCTCTGCTATGGCCTGGGAAAGCAGTAGAAGATGGCCCAAGTCCTTGGGTCCCTGCACCTATGTGGGAGACCTGGAAAAAGCTCCTGGCTCGTGACTTCAGATTGGCGTAGCTCCAGCCGTTGCAGCCATCTGGGGAGTGAATCAGCAGATGGAAGACCTCTCTCTCTGTCTCTGCCTCTCAACTCTGTGTAACTCTTTCAAATAAATAAATCATAAAAAAAGAAATCACTGAGTATATATATTCTGATTTACAAAGTCACCACATTATAATACTCCAAATGTCCAGTATCCTGCAAAAATAGCAAGGTAAAAAAATAATACAGAAACACAGTAAAGTCGCATGAAAGAAAACAATACTGACAGGAAACTTCCATGTGGAAGTCCAGATATTTGAATTACAAGGCAATGGCTTTAAGCAAATGCTTAGGGATATCACTACCACTCCATTTTGTTTCTCAGCACCTGCTCTTGCAAGAACCCATGATGCCTGGGCCACAGCCTTGAGGGGACTGGAGGAATCAGGGTTGAGCCGCTTAAGCCAAGGATTTGTGTTCTACCGTCCATCTGAAGAAATTAGTTGTGGTTTGGTTACAAGTGAGAGCAAAGTGCGTATCTCCAAGTTGCCTTTTGCTGTGACAGTGACTTACATCAGATACTTCCAAATATCGCGAAATAATAAAGGTCACGAAAATGTAAGATAAAGATACCATTAAGAGCAATGTGGTTGCATTTATTTTATTTTTGGATAAAGACTCTGCACAAAATTGTACCAGGGCAATAAACAATAAATAGTTACTTGGTAGACTGATAAAAGCAAGCATTACTATTGACAATGGAAGAGCGGCTGAGTTCATCTGAAGACAAAATTAATTGATAAATCTAAGTGCCACAAATGCGGAGAAATTGAACAGTTAAGTTATGCCTATTCTAAAAATACGCTTGGAGAACTTAGAACTTCCAGCAAAGAAAGAGAAAAAAGAAAACTGAACCAGAAGAAGAAATAGAGTAGGGAGAAGAAAGTGAAGATGAAGGTGAAGGAGAGACTCTGTTCCGGACAGCCTCAGCCAGGCCATAGCCTTCCGGCAAGGCAAAACTGAAGAGCAAACCAAAATGGAAACCCATTCAGGGGGTCCCTCAACATTAGATGACTCATGAGGCCCAAGTTAAAGGAAATCAGATTTTAGTGATGAGGAACAATGTGGTGATTAAAATTATAATTATTATGTAAATAATCTTAAAAGAGCCTTGGAACATAAAGCTCAGCTGGAGACTGAGGTTCCTTTTTGAATTTGAACATAAGACCACTTAATACCAGATAATGTTTTACTAGAAAATAGTTCACACAAAATTTTAAAACATATAAAGCATCGTGTTTCCATCTTGCCAAGACACAGTACAGTTGGAGCGCACCTAATCTGAAACAAGTACTTGGTTCCATGCATCCACATGGAAGAGCTGGATTGTGTTCTTGCTGTTGACTTTGGTCTGAGCAACCTTCAGCTGTTGTGGAATGAGCCAGTGGATGGAAGATTTCTTTCTCTCTTTCTGTCTCTGTCTGTCTTTTATTCTGTGTATCTCTGCTTTCCAAATAAATTAAACGAATGAATCAGGTTTTTAAGTATTTCCAAAGAGTTAAGAAATTCATGGTCAAATAACTTAGGGAAACAGGAGAACACTGAATATTCAAGTATAATATATCAGTAAAGATAGAGAAAATATGAAAAGAAATTCTAGAACTGAAAATTACAATAGATTAAATGTCATACTATATGAATAAACAACAAGGTTTTAACATTTTCCTTTATGTAATGGAGACTACTCTTTTAGTATGTGTTTTTAAGATATCCACACTGCAGTAAATGCCCTTTTTTTTTTGACAGGCAGAGTGGACAGTGAGAGACAGACAGAGAGAAAGGTCTTCCTTTTGCCATTGGTTCACCCTCCAATGGCTGCCGCGGCCAGTGCACTGCACTGATCCGAAGGCAGGAGACAGGTGCTTCTCCTGGTCTCCCATGGGGTGCAGGGCCCAAGCACTTGGGCCATCCTCCACTGCACTCCCGGGCCACAGCAGAGAGCTGCCCTGGAAGAGGGGCAACCGGGACAGAATCTGGCGCCCCGACCGGGACTAGAACCTGGTGTGCCAGCGCTGCTAGGTGAAGGATTAGCCTATTGAGCCGCGGCGCCGGCACAGTAAATGCCTTTCTAATGTAATGCATGTAGAGTTCTGAAAATTGATCAATGACAAGAAGTTAAGTCACACAAAATATGAAGGTGGAATCATAATTTATAAACTGGTGGTACCTCATAACTCACCTATGTGGTAGTTAATAGGATAGCAATATAACCTGAAGATTTTGTACCACTATTAATTTAAACGTAACTTCTCAGAGAATTAGGACCACTGGTTTAGACCCTGCTTCCGTTGCTTAATTCCTTGTAAGAGTGCTTTGATATGAGTCTCTGCTCTGCTTCCAATTCTAGATTCCTAGATTCCTGCTAATGCACACCCTGGAAGTCAGAGGGGAGGTCTCAAGTATTTGGGTCCATGCCATGTGAGAGACCCAGATTGTGTTCTGGTGTAGCCCCTGCTATTGCAGGGAAAGAACAAATCAATGGATGGAAGATGGTTGCATTCTTTCAAATAAATGCAACCTATATTTTAAACGATGCCCACTTGTTATCCAAAGCAGAAGCATTACAAAAGTGAGGAAAATAAATTGTTCAAAGGTCCCATTCAACTCATGCCTGAAGTATGGAACTGCTAATTGCCAACTGTTGAGAAAAGTCCCAAGGAGCAAACTAGAATGTGATTATTCTGTGCTATTGTTCTTTTTAGGAAATTAAAATGACTGACTGAACCCCCTTATGAAGATGGAGCACCAAGTATCATCTAACATCTACACTGGGCAAATGAGCTGAATCACAACACACCACACTGCAAGTGCAAATGTGAGATCTTTTGCACAGTAATTCTTCGGGAAGAAGAACAAGCAGGACAAGTATATGGGACAACAGGTGGAATGATGGTGAGAGTTGTGAAAAGGCCCATTTCCCACCCACCCACCTGGGTGCAAACCATAAAACTGATCAGTCTGTGAAAATTCTCAAATATTAGGAGTAAAAAGTCAGTTTTAAAATGTATCTGTCTGGGGCTGGCACTGTGGTGCAGCGGGTTAATGCCCTGGCCTAAAGCACTGGCATCCCATATGGGCACTGGTTCTAGTCCCGGCTGCTCCTCTTTTGATCCAGCTCTCTGCTACGGCCTGGGAAAGCAGTGGAAGATGGCCCAAATACTTGGGCCCCTGCACCCACATGGGAGACCTGGAAGAAGCTCCTGGCTCCTGGCTTCGGATCAGCACAGCTCCAGCCACCTGGGGAGTGAACCAGCGCATGGAAGACCTTTCTCTCTCTGTCTCTACCTCTCTCTGTAACTATGTCTTTCAAATAAATAAAATAAATCTTAAAAAAAATATATCTGTCCCCTCTCCTCTCTGCCTCACCTCTTCGCCCTTCCTTTCTTCCTTGGTCCTCAATAGACAGCAGGCATTTCTTGGGAAGCCCTTGTTTGTTTCTTGCCACATGTCTGCTTCTGCAGGCCTGCAGGTAGAACATCTGACAGAGTCACACTTAATACTAAGTAATCCCTGACTACAAAATAACCTGTGTCCTTTTCATTGGAATTCGTGGACAAACTATCCATGTTGACAAGCCTGATTTGTTTGCTAAGGACAGACAGGGACAAGGGACAAAGGTGTGTGGCAAAGAGAATCAGGGCCTCTCAGCCATGGCAATGTAGGTTCATGTCGGGGCAGAAGAAGTACAAGCTGAGGCACAGAACATACAGCATGCAATGTCACTCTTTATTAGGAACATAAACAGCAATACTGAGTGGGGAAAGGAAACATTTGGCCTTTCAAGTGGTTACGTTACCATCTCTACAATGAACTCTGCAATAGACAGCCATGTCTCCAATCTGAGTTGTGAACTTTGCCTTATATTGGAAAATAAAAACAATGACATGGATCGGGACATGGAGGACATCCAGGGGATCCTTTTATGTGATTTGTTTGAAGGCCTCCTTTGGGATCTTGCCCTGCATCTGGAGGGAAGGAGTAGGAATATCAGAAGGGTCAGGAGGCCCGAGTTCCACCCCCAAACCACCTGATGTCCACCTTTCTGAAGGCCCAGAGACATCCAACATTGACCCGCTTGTTTCCCAGACCTCACCTGGAGGATAAGGAAGACCTGTGCCGCTCTGGTGTAGTTCCATCCATTCTCTTCAAGGCACCTGGCGGGGGCAGGTGGAGACCAGGTGATTACTCTGTCAGCTCCACAGAACACACATGCCAATAACATTCCACCCCTTCACCATGCTACTCTTTCATTGGAACACATGTACCAGAATGAGTACTACTCTATCAATGAAGACGACCTTTTGAAAATTCACAATGTCTACAATAACATTCATGCCACTGAAATTCACAGAAAAATAGAGGTGTTCAAAACAAGAGAGCTTAGCATAGAATCACACAATATGTGACCTTTAATGACTTGCCACTTTCATTTACCAAAATAATTTCAAGGTGCATCCATGGCATAGCCTATGTCAGAATTACTTTTCATAAGACAGTATCAATATTCCACTGTAGAGATGTGCCATGTTTATTGATCTATTCTCAGTTAAAGGACAACGGAGTTGCTTCCATTTGAGACTAATATGAATAATATTTCTATGAACATTCATGTCCAAGGTTTTGAATTAACATATTCTTTTATTTCTCTTGGTATATACTTAACCATGGAGCAGCAGGGACTTGAATGGGCACTCATATGGTATATTTCTGTTGCAAGTGGCAGATTAAGCTGCTGTGCCAAACACAAGTCCTGAATACATTACGTTTTAAAAAATCTACACAGGTCCGTATAAAAGTAATTTTAGAGAGATCCAAGATGGCTTAATAGGGTATAGCTAAACTAATTTAAGCTGCTCTGGGATATGAAAAGAACATACGAAGGACCAAGGTTCCAGGGGTCTGAATGATGGATATTTTCAATGAAGAAGTGAAAAAACAACAAAGCTCTGTGAGACAAGAGGACAGAAGACAGAGACACTGCTGTAGCCAGCTACACAGCACAGCCAGCTGCAGGCTATGAGCCACCTTCATACCTTGTTAAGGCAGGAAGAAATTACTGCACATCCTGCCGCCCACATTTTAGCTGAGAGAGAATTCCATAGTCACCCACTGACTTTTACCTCACCCTGAGGAGCTGACTGGGGTCTGAGCAACAGCCAGGCTTGAGTTGCTTCCTTCCCCTTCCCCACTCCCACAGAGCACCATACTCAGCAGCAAAATGTTGGGCAGTATGCTTTTCTTCCACTCCTACCAACAACAGAAGCACAGTCAGGAGGAGAAACCATCTTCTCAGAGAGGAGTGAGGCAAGCCTAACACTGCCTGAGAGAGAACCTTGCAGACACAATGAATTTGAGTCTGGCCTGGAGCACACTGCACACTAACCCTGTGAAAGGAGAGAACATTTGCTGCTTTCCATCCCTCCCCACAAGGCCTTCCAGTAACTAGCGGGGAGAAGACACCATCTTAACAAAGCAAGTGCAGGCTACCACAGCTCACACGTGCACAACTAGGGGATTTTATCTGAGGGATAAATTCATGGTCTCCACTGACTTTCAGTCTCAACTGGAGGATTGGCAGGAGGTAGAGCACCCGTTTAAGCCTGCGAGGTGCTCTCCACACCTCACTGTATTATGGCACCCATACTCAAACTACAGGGATGGAATACAAACAGACATCTGGCTCTGGGAATGCCTCGTCACTCTTCATGAATGTGCCTGGGGTGGAACATTGCAAAGGGTTCTGTGTTCACGCTGAGGACAACACAGATCCTTTGTGTGGTTCATGCACCTGTGTGGGTGGGGCGTGCAGCCACTGTGGGCTCGCCCCAAGTGTGTTGATCACCTTGGCAGAGAGGAGATGAGGCAGTGATCACTTGAGCTGAAGTGAGAATACCCTACCCATCTGCTGACAATAGAGGAGATCTACTTGGTGTCACCTTCAACTCTTGCACCGTCACCAAGCACTGACCAGAGATCCCTGGCCCCACATAACACACACATCTGCATATTCACTGAAGGAGCAGACACTCCACTAAGCCAAAGAGGCATATTTCAGAAACAAAGACATCAGAGGAGAAAACCAACAAGTGGCCCCACAAATGCCCAAATATAAACAGAAATTCAAGAAAGATGAAAAATGAGGAAAATGTGACTCCCCTGAAACAACACTTCAATATTAGAATGTGAAGATGAAAAGACTGACAAAATGCCTGAAAAAATTCAAAATAATGATCATAAGATTACTTTAAAAAATGGGAAGTAAATTCATGAATTAAAGGAATAACATGCATGACATGGATGAAAATTTTTGCCAGGAGATGGATATATTAAAGAGAAAACAAACTGTAATTTTAGAAATGACTAATTCAATGTCTCAAATAAACAATATAGGGAGAAACCTTAAACAACAGACTTGGTGAGGCAGAAGAAAGAATAACCAAGCTGGAAAACAAATCTCAGTCACACACAAATACACACACACTGAAAAATTAGAAAAACTGAAAACAGTGCTTGAGATTTAAGGGATACTATCAAATGACCAAACAGAAGGGTTTTAAGAGTTTCTGTAGGTGTGGAAAGAGTGAATGAGTTAAGAAGGCCTATTCAGTGAATTAACAGCAGAAATTGAAAGAATTTGTCACATTTATCTAGCATTTCAAATGATGCTTAAGGAACAGAGAAAGAGAAACAGGAAGCAGAAACAGAGAAAGATAGTCATTATGAAACAATGTGAAGGCAGAAAATTCTCCTAGTGAAAGTACAAGCGAAATTGAAAGCAAATGCTAGGGAGATTAATGGAAAATGGCAGAACCAAGTCATCAATAATAACCTTGAATGTAAATGGCCTAAATTCTCCAATTAAAAGACATAGACTGGCAGAATGGATTAAAAAACATGACCAATCTATTAGTTGCCTGCAAGAAAAACACCTCACCAACAAAGATACTCACAGACTGAAGGTGAAAGGATGGGAAAAGATATATTCTATGCTAATGGAAACCAAAAAAAGAGCAGTAAAAATATCTTAATACCAGACAAAATGGACTTTAAGACAAAAACTGTTAAAAGACACAAGGGCATTATGTAATGATTAAGGGATGAATTTGACAGGAAAATATGTCTATAGTGAATAAATATGCACCTAATGCCAGGGCTCCTGGATATGTTAATGGATCTAAAGGGAGACATAAACTTTAACACAATGGGGGATTATAACACCCCACTTTGATCAGTGGACATATCAACTAGACAAAAAAATCAACAAACAACAGAGAAAATCTACACTAAAGAACAAAGGGACCTAATTGACATCTGTGGAACACTTATTACCTCAGCTGCAGAACACACATTCTTTTTCATCACTGAATGTAATTTTCTCTAGAACAGACCATATGCTAGGCCATAAAGCAAGTCTCAAATAAAAAAAATTGAACTAATACCACAATGGAATGAAGCTGGAAATTAACAACTTAAGAAATTCTAGAAAGTATGAAAACACATGAAGACTAAAGAACATTTCCTGAGTTAACAGTGGTACATGGAAGAAATCAAAAGGGAAATCAAGAAATTCCTGGAAATGAATGAAAATGACAACACAATATATAAAAACATATGGGGGATACAGCAAAAGCAGGGTTAAGAAGTAAGTTTACAGCAGGTAATGCCTACATCAAGAAACTGGAAAGGCATGAAATAAATAATATAACAATGCATCTCAAGGATCTAGAAACATAAGAGAAGAGAAATAATTAGAGATGAAATAAACAAAACTGAAACCAAAAAATGGTATAACAGATCAGCAAATTGAAGAGCTGGTTTTTTGAAAACATAAACAATATTGACACACCACTGGCTCAACTAGTCAAAAAAGGGGGAGAAGACCCAAATTAATAAAATCAGATATGAAAATGGAGATGTAACAATGGATATCACAGAAATAAAAAGAATCATCAGGAAGTACTACAAACAACTATATACCAACAATTAGAACATCTAGATGAAATGGATAGATTTCTGGACACATACCATCTACCAAAATTGAATCATGAAGGCACTGAAAACCTAAACAGACCAATAACCAAGATGGAGATTGACTCAGTGATAAAGTCCAGTCCAACCAAAAAAAAAAGCCTAGTACTGGATCGCTTTACTGCTGAATTCTACCAAAATTTAAAGAAATAACTCTAATTCTTTTCAAAGCATTAAAAATTATTCAAAAGGGGGGAAATCCTCCCAGACTCATTCTATAAGGCTAGCATCATCTTAATTCAAAACCAGGAAAATATACAACATAGCAAAGGAACTATAGACTCACATCCCTGATGAACATAGATGCAAAAATCCTCAACAAAATACTAGCTAATTGAATTTAACAACAAATCAGAAAGATCATTCACCTAGACCAGGTGGGACTTATCCCTGATATGCAGTGATGCCTCAACATATGCAAATCAATAAAAGTGATAAATCATATTAACAAACTGAAGAATTAAAACCACATTATTATCTCAATAAATGTACAGAAAGCATCTGATAAAATACAATATCCTTTTATGATTAAAAAAGTTAAGTGAACTGGCTATAGAAGCAACATTCCTTAACACAATCAAGGCGTTATATGATAAACCCACACTAGCATCATGTTGAATAGAAAAAGATGGAAGCATTTCCACTAAGATCTGATGCCTACTTTCACAATCGCTATTTAATATAGTTCTGGGGTTTACAGCCAGAGACATTAGGTAAGAAAAAGAAATCAAAGGGATACAAATTGAAAAGAAGTCAAATAATCCCATTTGCAGATGACAGGATCCTATATATAGGGGAGCTGAAAGACTGCACTAAAAGATTATTGGAATTCATAAAAGAGTTTGGTAAAGTGGCAGGATATAAAATCAACACACAAAAATCAATAACCTTTGTATACACAGGCAACACCATGGCTGAGAAAGGATTTATAAGATAAGTACCATTCACAATAGCTACAGAAAAATTATATACCTTGTAATAAAGTTAACCAACAATGTGGAGGATCTCTGCAAAGGAAATTACAAAAAATAAAGGAAAAATAGAAGAAGACACAAAAATGCAGAAAAATCTTTCCATGCTCATGGATTAGAAAAATTAATATTATCGAAATATTGATAATACTCTAAACAATTTACACATTCAATGCAATTCCAATCAAAATACCAATGATGTTCTTCTCAGATCTATAAAAAAAAATGCTAAAGTTCATATGTAAAAACAAGAGACCCGGATATCTAAAGCAAATTTAAACAATTTAAAAAAATCCAGAAGCATCACAATACCAGATTTTAAGAAATATCCCAGGGCAGTTATAACCAAACAGTCAGGTACTAGAAAAAAATTGACCAACAAAACAGAATAGAAAGCCCAGAAATAAATCCAGACATCTACAACCAACTAATCTTTGATAAACAAACTAAAATAAATCTCTGGGAAAAGGACAGGCTCTGCAACAAATTGGGAAAATTGGATCCACGCATGCAAAACTATGAAACAAGCCACCTACCTTACACCTTACACAAAAATCCACTCAAAATGGATCAAGGACCTAAATCTACAACCCATACTATCAAATTTCTAGAAGAAAATGCAGGGGAATATCTGCCAAGACAGTGACATAGGCAAAGACTTCTGGAAAAAGAATCCAGAAGCACAGACAATCAAAGCCAAAATTCACAAATAGGATTACATCAAGCTAAGAAGCTTCTGCACTTCAAAGGAAACATTCAGCAAAGTGAAGAAGCAACCAACAGAATGGGAGAAAACATTTGCAAAGTATACAACTAATAAAGGATTAATATCAAGAATCTAAAAAGAGCTCAAGAAACTCAACAATAGCAAAATAAACAATAAAGAAATGGCAAAGTACTTGAACATGTAATTTTCAGAGGATGAAATTCAAATGGCCAACAGAAACATGAACAAATGCTCAGAATCACCAGTCATCAGAGAAATGCAAATCAAAACCACAATGAGGTTTAACCTTACCCAAGTTACAATGGATATCATCCAAAAATCAAAAAAACAATAAATGTTGGTGAGGATGTGGGGAATAAAGGTACCCTAATACACTGTCGTGGGAATGTAAAATAGTACAACCAACACAGAAGACAGTTTAGTGGTTCCACACATATCTGAAATTAGATCTACCGTATGACCTAGCCATCTCACGCAAACAAAATTAAATTAACATATGCAGGAGTTATTGGTGCTCCCATTTTCATTGCAGCTCAATTCACAATAGCCAAGATATGGATGGGGCCAGTGCTGTGGTATAGCCGGCAAAACCACCACCTGCAGTGCCGGCATCCCATACGGGCACCACTTTGAGTCCTGGCTGTTCCAGTTCCTATTCATCTCTCTTCTATGGCCTGGAAAAGCAGTAGAAAATGGCCCAACTCCTTGGGCCCCTGCAACCACGTGGGAGACCTGGAAGAACCTCCTGGCTTCTGGCTTCAGATCGGTGCATCTCCGCCAGTTGCAGCCAATTGGGGAAATGAACCAGTGGGTAGAAGACATCTCTCTCTCTCTCTTTCTCTGCCTCTGCGCCTCTGTAACTCTGACTTTCAAGTAAAATAAATAAATATTTTGGGAAAAAAAGATGTGGAATCAACCCAGATGTACAACAACTGATGATTTTATTTTTAAAAATATGGTATATATACATGATGGAACACTACTCAGCCATAAAAAGAAGGAAATACTGTCTTTTACAACAAAATGGATGCAACTGGAAACCATATGCTTAGTGAAATAAGCCAGTCTCGAAAATAAAAAATCATATTTTCCCCGATTTGTGCTAACACACAGTGTAGCAAAAAATATAATGTGTACGAGCAAATTTCACATTTTGAGATCTGATTATTGTTTACAACCCTTGTCTATACTCTTTAGGAACAGTGGGTTTTCTGCTTACTACATATTGAATTCTTTATTTAGTGGAGGGTTAAGCTGACTATAAAATAACTAAAAGTATGTCATTGTCAAAATTAAAAGAAAAAGATAAGAAAGGAAGGATGAGAGAGGGTGAGAGCATTTGTGGGAGGAAGGGTAGAGTGGGAAGTATCCTTATACTCTTCAATATGTATATATGAAATGTGCTCACCTTGTATAAAATATAAAAATTTAACAAAATAAAATAAACAGTAATGTCTTCCCACATGCACACTTTATATAGAAGCAAAATATTCATAGTTGTTTTTTTTTTAACAGGCAGAGTGGACAGTGAGAGAGAGAGACAGAGAGAAAGGTCTTCCTTTGCCATTGGTTCACCCTCCAATGGCCGCTGCGGCCAGTGTGCTGTGGCCGGCGCACCGCGCTGATCTGAAGGCAGGAGCCAGGTGCTTCTCCTGGTCTCCCATGGGGTGCAGGGCCCAAGCACTTGGGCCATCCTCCACTTCACTCCCTGGCCACAGCAGAGAGCTGGCCTGGAAGAGGGACAACCGGGACAGAATCCGGCGCCCTGACCAGGACTAGAACCCGGTGTGCCGGTGCGTGGTGCCGCAAGGCGGAGGATTAGCCTAGTGAGCCATGGCGCTGGCCCATAGTTGTTTTTAAAAGTTGCATTGAGTTTTAATTTTTCACACCCCTTTGTTCCAACTACTCCCTATTCCCAAGCACACCCATCACTCACTTCCTGCACCACTCAAATTTCATCCCAGACAGAGAGGAGAAAGCTTGCTCCAATTCATGCTGCAGCTGGGAAACGGTGGGTGTACAACTGGAGCATGGAATGCTTCCTGGGATGGTGAAGACTGTATGGACATTGACAGGATTGACGTTCCTCACAAACAGTTGATCATTCAGGATACAAAGCCTGGAAGGAAATAGGTCTTCAACTAACTACACAGGTGACATTCCCAGACTCCCAACAGACTCATCAATAACCACCGCCACTCAGCAACTGGATTCTTTACATACCCTTACTGTTTTAAATCCCCAGTTCCTTGACTGGAACCCTCTACCCACTCCCCCCAACACACACACACACACACACACACACACAAAGAGCCCCACGTTTGGAGGGACTAACATCTTCACTCAATCTGTGGACTTCACCCCAATGTGTTTTTCTTGTACAGCAGCACAAGAGAATGGATACAGTTATCCTCACTGAGTCATAGAGAGGTGGAGTAATTTGAGCAAGGTCCCATAGTGCTGAAGTCAGGAAGATAACCAAATTACGAATCAATAGCCCAAGCTCTTGACATTTATTCCACACTGTTCTTTCCATCTATTGTTGGCCGTTCCATATATTGAGATATCCTGAGTACTATACCACCACATTCCCACACCACTGGCCAAAGGTAAAAATGGGTGTTCCCACTAGCAACACAGCACTTACATGGAATTCATGCTTGGGATAACGATGAAAGTCCGGGTGAAGGCAAACATCAAATTCTGAGAATTACTTTCTATATAAAGGGCAACAAACAATGATACTCCCTTAGAGTTGTACATGCCATACCCTTTCATACAGCATTCCCTGTCTGTGTCTTATGTTGAAGGGTTCAGACAGAGAAAATTGTTCACTTGGGGTCAGGACAGCCTGGCAGAAATGGAGAGGATAACAATTGGGACAATCCACTTCTGGTAACAGGGTTCCTCTGTGACAAAGCACCTTACATGTTCACTTGATTCCTGTCTCACATCTGACCAAAAGATGAATAGTACAACCCCATTTTTCATATGAAGCAACTGAGGAGACAGACAACTGGACCAAGGTCACAGAGAAGTGCCTGTGATAGTGCCGTCAAACTCCACAGCCTGTGTCCCTGATGCCTGAGCTCTGTGGGGCAGACAGGCATGGTAATGGGTTGGGACAGGGCAGTTTTAAGGGCAGAATGGGGGCAGAATAACACAAAAGGAATACAAGAAGAAAGGAACAGCTTCTGGAAAAGCTGGATGAGTTCTGAGAGGGAGCAGTGGGAGCTCTGAGGTGACAACTATATAGAAACTCACCTCCTCTGAATAATCCATTAACAGCAAAACTGATCATCGTATCCTAAAAGGGAAGAAATAAGGTGACCAGGAACCTCCTTTAATTCCCACCTAGCTCCATATGCCTGGGGCCTGCTTGAGGGAGGAAGCAGGCACTCACCGTGTGGAACCACATGTCTATTGAGAAGGAGTTAAAGTCATGTTGAGTTCTTGGCAACATACTGAGGGCATCCACAATGGTATGGTTTCTGTGCTTAAGCAATTTCCTTCTCAGGTCTGTGTGGGACAGAAAGATAAGATTTGTGCTCCCAGTCTCTGATCCTTGGCCCCTACAACTGTCTGTCCCTTTTATACCCTATTACCCAGTCCTCCCCATCACACACGTACAGGAATCCTTGATATCCTTCATATTCCTGTTGTTCTTGACATAGCCATAGAAGGCGCTCCTATTTTACAAAAAAGAACAATAAGCAGTGGTCCAGGCAGTAGAGATGTTTTCAGGAACTGACCTGTGCCTGCCTGGCAACAGGGCCCCAAAGTCTAAACTGCAGTACTCACGGGTCTGGATCCATGGAGTGGAAGGCAGTGCTCAGAGAGAAGCAGGCCTTCTCATGGTAAACACTAATGAGAGTACGGCGATCTCCATAGTCATAAATAAAGTAATATCTGTGGGGGAGCAATGAAAAATTTTACTTGAAAACTCCTGTGAGCAGACCTGTGCTGGCCTGGGAAGCCTGTTTCAGGCTTGCCCTTCCTCATAGTTGCTGGCATACTTACTGTTGCAGGAAATGCAGGATCAGATTTTTCAGTAATTCAGGTCCTTCATAGCTGTCCTGGAATAAAAACTCATTTTAGATGCTGCGGATGATGTATCCTCACTTGCACCATCCCAAATCCCTTGCTCCTTACCTTGCAGGGCTTCATTAACACAATTTCAGTGACAGCGCGAGGGTATAACTCTCTGCCATCCTGGGGAAGGGAATGGGAAGTTAGCATGAAGATCAGGAAGGTGGTAATGGATAATCCAATTGAAGAAATTGGCCTGGGGGAACAAGGGTCAGCGCCCAGGTAAGAAATGGCTCCTGAAATTCCATGAACAACATTACAGTGTGCGTTCACATTGTGAGGAGACTGGAAATCTCTTCTATTACATGCAACTTGTGTGTGTGTGTGTACATCCATATGTCTTTGCATGTTTATGAACACACTTCCCACAGAAAATATTAATGGCTTTCATTGGAATCTATGTTCTCAATGGCTTGGGGACAGGTATGGAGATCATGGTAGAAAGAGGAGAGTGATGACTACAGGTACTCACCAGGCGCAACAAATTGGGGAAACAATCCAGAATCAAACTGTTCAAATTCAAAAAGAGAATGAAGTGACTGACAGGTTGGGGTTGCACACCTTCTCCTTATTTGCATCTCCTTCTTCCCCTGAACTCCTTTTCTTCCCCTACTGCTTGAGTAGTGCCCACCTACAATGCCCTGACCCCATTCTCCAGGGCCACAAGAAGACCCATTGGGGCCCAGGCTTCCTCCCCATCCCTGTCTCCCTTACTTTCTGCCAAGTCACTTTGGGAGGCTTCAAAGTGAGCAGGGAATGGTATGGGAGCCCAGGCCTCTGCTACTTCTCAGGGTATCCAACATTCTTCCAGGCATGGAATGGACAAGACCACCTCATTCCCCAGGAAAGGCCCAGGAGCAGATTGGGTTATAGAGGGAATCAGACAGGGCTCAAGTGGCAGAGAAAGGCAGGCATGGGGATGAAAAGAGAAAGGAAGCTAAGGTAGGCCAAGCAGAGTTGGGGAAGAAATAGGAGAGTAGAAACAAAGGAAAAAGAAGAACCAAAAGCAAAGGGAAGAGACCATACCATCGTAGTGAGGGGTCAGAAAAGAAAAGAGCAGGAAGCGGCTCCACTGCTACAGCCCATCTCCACAGCAACCACTGCCTAGGTCTGAAGGTCCAAAATAGGCAAGAAAGGAGTGAAAGATCAGGCCCCAGCTCAGCATGGGGTGAAAGGTGCTGGTCCCCTCTTCAGATCACCACATTCTCTCCTCAAGGTCCCGTGCAGCTGTGCATGTCTGAGTTGTCGGTGTGTTGCCTGAGAAACTGGACCCTTCAGGGGCTCCTCTGAAAGATGTGGTGAGGAAGGAGGGAGGAGTGGTATCCCTGACAGGCCTGTCCTTCTCTCTCCTCAACCTCCTCTGCCCTTAACCTTCCATTCCTGCCTCAAGAAACCCTCTCTCACTGCTGTCAGCCCACGTTTGTCCCCCTGATTCAGGGAACCTGGGTTTCTCCCGAGGTATGTCCTAGCTCCCTGCATAGGGCCAAAGGAACTGATGTCAGGATGGCAGTCATCCAGGTACCAGCCCCTCAATGTGAGAAAGATCCCGGGTCAGTTTAGGACAGGTCATGGTATCTCTTTTGGAGCAAGGAAAAGAAGAACCTTCTCAGGACGTGGGAGGTAAGCCAGCTCCATCTCAACCTGGGGTCAAACAGGCCTGAGTCAGAATGAGGCTCTGGGATGTAGGAACTGTCTCAGTCAGGGCACCAGCACCTGGCTCAAGGTAGAGCACCTCTGTCCCTGGTAAGGACAGGGAGCCCTGCTTCCTGGAGCACACCTATGGGAGAGCACTCTGGAAAAGGCCGGTGTAGAGACGGGATACACACCCCATCCAGCTGGAAAGGAGAGCAGGTCGGAAGGAAAGGAGACTTCTAGGCAGAGCTGAGTGAAAAAGAGAGGAGAGAAAAAAAGAAAAAGAAAAAGAGGAGAGGGCAGGACCTTGTTCTTCCGACAGGACTAAGGCTGCCTCCCCCTATATGTGGCACTGTCTTGGCCAGTTCAAGCTCCCAAGGGATGAATGTCCACAGAAGGGTAATGGGCACTACCACTGACCTTACATAGGCAGCATGGTCACTGAATGTGCTACACAAAGGGTTTCCTTTCAGCCACAATTCTTCAAGCTTTAGCTCTTTCAACTTCTGTAACTCCAATGCCATCTTAAGCTGAGAAAAGCAGGGAGAGAACTGGAAAATGAGTTATGAGGAGAGAGATATCCAGGTTCCTGCACCCCCAACCCCCACCCTCACCTACAGGTACTTCCATTTGCATGCTGCCATCACACGATGTGCACCCTCACACACCCTCAACCCCAAATGCAATTGGCACCCTAGTCTCACCTCATTGTCAGAAAGGTTCAAGATCTTGATTTTTGGGGCCTTCCCTATGATGTCAGATAGGTCATCCAGCTGATACAGTTTGTTGTTGCGTAAATTCAAACAAAACAGCTTTTGGGTAGGAAAAGTTAGGATGATAGTTATATCTATGTCCTGGGAGACAAATTTGCCCTCTACCCTATCACCTCTACCCTTTGACCTAAACAGCTGACCTGGGCCTAGGACCTCACCTCAGGAAATTGCTTTTCAATGATATGCAGGATGGCAGCCATGCAGTGTCTTTGGTTCAGTATCATGTCAATATCATGGCCCACCAAGTCTTCAGGAAGCCAAGATAAGGAAATCAGAAGGATATATGTCCATCAGAACCAGGGCCAGCACCAACCCCTTCCCAAGTTGTCATTGCTATGTCTACAACCCAGGAATGCCCCCTGCCTTCATCTGCCAAGGAATAGTTACTGTCACCCATACCTGGATCATAATATAATCTCTGTAGATCAAGGGATTCTGTGTAGGCATCATATCGTTTGTTCAAGGTCAACTGCAGGAACAGATATGGAAAGCAGGGCTTTGAGGCCATTGGGATGCTGGTGACAGGGGAATTAAGGGCTACAGGGAGAAGAGGTGGGCCTGGAGAGTACACTATACAACACTTCTTGAGTCTGAATTACCTTTAGCTGCTCCATTTCCTCTGGCAGCAAACGACACTGTATGGAATAGGGTATAGCAGAGTGAGTAACAAAGGTAGGTAACTGTGAAAGGAGTGGGGGGATAAGTGCCAGAGCCTCTAATTCCGATGACCACCACCAGCCCATGGCCCTGAGAATCAGTATAGTCAATGTTCTCAGCACAAACCTTTCGGTTCTCAAAATGAAACTTGTGGCTCACCTCCTTCAGTGCAGATTCAGTAATAGCATCTTGAACAAAAAACTGGGCCTCGTTGTTGATGTAATGAAACTATGGAGCATGAACAACAGTCTCATGGATTAGCGGTCCCGGATAACCCAGGCCTCCTCTCTCCCCTATATCCACCCATCTGGCTTCACCATCCTCTCTTACATCTACAAAGCAGACAGCACATTATGAATTGAGTTTACAATTTTTGTCTTGCTGTAATTTCCCATGTATGGAACTTAAGTGCAAAAGGATGAAATCCACGATGAGAGTGATAAATTAAAGGGAGAGAAAAAGGCTCAACCAAGTGTTTTTTTTCAGACCTTGTAACTAGTTTTAAATGTCTCCTGCAGAAGGATCACTGACAGAATTTCTTTCTTTTGTGCCAAATATGGGTTTTCCATAAACATTTTCTCTCTCCACTTAGAATCTCTCTTCCACAGAGTAAACTTAAGTTCTTTTATGCAACCATCCTTTATAAGATTTCAGAATATTCTATCTCATGCAGAGCTTGACAAAATACTCACTGTGACCTTGATCCAGCATGGTAGAGTTCCATCCTGTTTCTCCTCCCCCATGTCTCTATTGGGGCGTTTTTTATATCTGCACAATTCTCCATGGACTTTGTCACGATTACATTTCTTTTTCCTCTTCTTGCATTCCATACTATATGGAGTGCTGGGAGAGGGACAGAAGCATGATTCCATAAGTGGTAATGCAGTCTTTTATACCATCTCCCATCACTGATACAGCAAGGCTGCAGTTACAGGACTGCTCAGCCATCACTCTATTTCTAGCATTCGTCAATGGTCCCATTACAAAGAAAAAGGAAGATTACACAGAACAGAAGAGGCACATGTCTTCAGGGGTTGCTTCATGTAAACCAAGCCCCTCATTCACCTACCACTCTAATTGTAGGTCCTGTTGGGTATTCACTATTGCTATGATTCTATTATTCTCCTGGTGGTATGAAGGTGAAGGCTTGTACTCATTATGTTCATAATGAAGATTCTCCTGGCATAAATAACCGTGGGATGAATCCCAATCTTTCTTCATTCCTTGATTAAGGGTACTAACAGCACCACATTCTGAAATTTGGAACAAATAAACAAGGTTGAAGACACATCATTTTCAGAGGTTCTACATCAAGTTGGTAGTGCAAGAAATGTGCTAACCTGGCCCAAGGCACCAATCAAACCCCAGAAAGTAGACTCTTCTAACTGTCTGGATATCTCACAGGCAGCACAGTTAGGAGAGAACTATTGAATGAAGAAGCACTGTGTGAAACCTTTTTAAAAATAGAGCAGGATGGGGCCATCGTTGTGGCATAGTGGGTTAAGATGTTGCACGTGACACCAGCATCCTACATGATTGCTGGTTTGAGTCTTGGCTACTCCATTTCTTTTCCAGTTCCCTACTTATGTGCCTAGGAAAGTAGGGGGATACAGCCCAAGTATTTGAGTCCCTGTGTCTCATGTGAGAGACACGGAAGAAGCTCCTAACTCCTGGCTTCAGCCTGGCCCAGTTCTGGCCTTGCATCCATTTGGGGACTGAACCAACAGATGGAAGATATCTTTTTCTGTAACTTTACCTTTCAAATAAATAAATAAATTTTTTTTAAATAGAGCTGAATTTAGAAAGAACAGAAATATGTGCATCCACAGGTTAGACTGGGCACCAGCCACATACTGGGAAGAAATCCCAATCTTGCCTTCTCTCAGGCTTCCTTAATCTAACAACAACACCAAAACCTGGGAGGCAAACTTTCTAATACCCCCTAATCCAATCAGTCACCAAACAGGTTCTATACAAGCTGACCTTCCTTTGCTGGAATGGTGCAAGCTTTTAGGACAGGTGACACTGAGGCAGTAGTCTCGTAAAATGCTCCACTGTTTCCATCATTGCTCTCAGTAATACTTGGTTTGAAATATCCAGAAAAAGCTTTTGCTTGGCCCACTCCAAAATGCTTTCAGCCAGGGAGACAACATTTCCTAAACTCATCTCTTCTATAGCAAGGGTATGAATCACAAACTAGAATCGTAAGCATTGACTACAATTTTCAAATGTTTGGAGATTTCCCTGTGATCTTTCTGTTGTTGAGTTCTGTTTGATTCTTTTATGGTCAAAACACTGTCTATATGATTTGTTGAGTTTTGTTTGATGACCCAGAATGTCTACACTTGTGAAAAACAAGATACTTGACAAAATGAAAAACCAACCAACCAAAATCTGCTCTTGTTGCATGGCAGGCTCTATTTATGCCACATACATTCTGTCATTGCATTGATTATATTATTCAGAGTTTCTATATTCTCGCTGCTGTTTTCTCTAGTAATTCTGTTACTTGCTGAGAGGTGAGTGTTAAAGGTCCAAAACCTAACTTGTGGCTGCGGTTACTTCTCCTTTTAACTACATCAGTTTTCACTTTGTGTGATGGATACACACTTAGGATCCTTAGGAAGTCCTGGTGGATTGATTCTTTTTTGTCATAGAATGTCCAACTTTGCCTCTCATTAACTTTCTTTACCCCAACATCTAATTATTGGATAATGCAACCTCAGCTGTGCTTATAAAGTGCTTTGGGTTCTATTTCACCCTGTATTTGCTCCCTGGAGTTGTGTTGCTGTTCCACAACAACACTTCTGCAAGTTCCCCACCACTTGTGTGGGTTCCCCACCATCATGCCTAATTCACATTGTGCTGGTCATAGCACCACATCATGTCATCTCATTTATCTCTCCCATAGGTACATTCTCAAAGGGTATTTTAGTTTCCCATAGTCATCTGAAACAATGTGCCACCAGAGGTAATAGGAGTCCTTTTGAGAGAGGTGGCTTAATGTAATTACAATGCTACAAATCAGTTTCTTCTTGGGCTTTAGTAATTAATGTTCTCTAAGGCTTTGTGTTACACTTTTTGTATATTACTCACCCAATGTTTCTTTAGGGCACACTTATGAAGAAACCTTGGCTCACTGTTGATCACTTTACAATGTACTGACTACAACCAGAACTCAGATTAACTCCTTGGTGATAGTGGTGGTGTGTGAGGGGGTGATAATTTCTTTGACTGTGTGACATGTGGCCAGGACAATTGTGCTACCACAACTTTAGGGATTTTCCCTGTGCTATAAGAAGTGAAATCAAATGTGAGCAGAATATCTGACTCACACATTTCACTTCCCAGCTCTCAAAAACCTGGAAGTGGCCTGGAGTACCCTTTCTCTCATGCTCCATATCTCTCAGCCTTCAAACTGTATCTGCAGCCCACACACTTCTGAGTACTTCCATTGCTACCGCTCTGGCCTGGAATGACCGTGATTGGACTGCTTTCCAAGTGTACTTCTGCTTTTCATTTATACTCCCTTAAAATCCACTTCCAATAAAGCAGGCAGAAAATTGTTTTAAAGTTTAAGTCAAATCTTGCCATTCCCCTCCTCAGAATCCTGTATTTTAAGCCTCCTTCAATATGTTCAATAGCTATGAGTTTATAATAATTCTTTTTTTAAAATTTTTTTTGACAGGCAGAATGGACAGTGAGAGAGAGAGACAGAGAGAAAGGTCTTCCCTTACATTGGTTCACCCTCCAATGGCCACTGCGGCCAGCGCGCTGCAGCCAGCGCACCGCGCTGATCCGAAGGCAGGAGCCAGGTGCTTATCCTGGTCTCCCATGGGGTGCAGGGCCCAAGGACTTGGGCCATCCTCCAATGCACTCCCGGGCCACAGCAGAGAGCTGGCCTGGAAGAGGAGCAACCGGGACAGAATCCGGCGCCCTGACCAGGACTAGAACCCAGTGTGCCAGTGCCGCAGGTGGAAGATTCGCCTATTGAGCCACAGCGCCGGCCAAGTTTATAATAATTCTTAAAAACAACAGCAAAGAACCTTGCTGCTGACATCTGGAGAATTCCAGGAAAGCAATTCATTTTCATGAAAGTTCATAAAAGGAGAAAAAAAATACAAAAGTGAGTGTTAAGGGCACATGGCAGAGATATGGACTATAGGAAGGGTCATTTAGGAGAACTAACATTCTTTAAGAGGGGAAAGTGTAAAAGTGGGCTGCCTAATAGCAATAGAACAATCACAGGAAGGCACTCATACAGGACAGTACACAAGTGATACAAAGCCACGGAGAGACTCAATGGACAGAGGTTCCAAAGACAAAACACACACTGGGACGTCTACTTACTGACCTCTTGGATCTCACTACAATCTCTGTCCTGCATCTGTGCTGCCAGAATCAAGGACAATAGCAGCGATGTTTAGAAAGCAGACAGTGCTGCTCTCCTAAACTGCCTGACTGCCCTCTTGGGGTGTATGACTTGTTCATTGATCCTCCCACCTGGATACTGCAGTGAGTATTCTTTATGATGTCATATGTGTTCTTACAAATACTTACTGAGTCAATCGGGAATTTTCTTACACCATTGCAAGGCCATTAAGTATATGACAGCTGCATCCCTCCAATGGTAATGGGAGTGTGAGAGAAACTCAACCTAGCCAACTAGCAACCAACATGGGCTCAGATTTGGGCACACTCAAGGATTCTCAAGATCTTCTCATGGAAATCTCATGATAATTGTTTCCATAGATCCATTTCAGATCAGGAATTTTAAGTTCACACACGTCATTCACGTCATTCTTTTTTTATCTTTTTAATTGTTAAATTTCTTATTCTGTGAAGTAGTAAGCTGTTTTACTGTAATGTAAATTTAAAAGGTTATCTCAAAAACTAAAAAAAAAAAGTTAAAAGGAAGGAAAGTGGAAGGGAGGGAGGAGAGGAGTATCATTATGTTCTTAGACTAATATCTACAAATCATATTGAATCTGTTTAAAACTTATATATATATATATATATATATCAGCAGAATTGAAATTGTGTCCTTACCTTTTGGTCTAACCCCATACCCCAAGTGCTTCTCTCATAACTGCACTGGTTGTCCCTAAATAGTGAGCTTTTTTTCAATAAGCAGGCCAGCGATGTGTTTTGTACTTGTCACTCCTGTCAGAGTGGGAACCAGGTGGAAATATCTGGCTTTGATTAGTCGAAAGAGATGTGTATGGGGCACAGGGTTCACAGATTTGGAGTCATTTTGGGCTGGTAGGGTTCAGCACAGAACAGGGGACTAATATGAGTTAAATTAATTGATGTGATGCAAACTTAGGATTATCGCAAAGCCACTGTTGAGAATACATCTAAACTATTTCTACTGACCATTCTTTATTTCAGACAAATTTGGGCTACAGGACTGTTTCATAACCTACTTGTAAAACTAATACAAACTGGCCGGCACCGCGGCTCACTAGGCAAATCCTCCGCCTTGCGGCGCTGGCACACCGGGTTCTAGTCCCAGTCGGGGCACCGGATTCTGTCCCGGTTGCCCCTCTTCCAGGCCAGCTCTCTGCTGTGGCCAGGGAGTGCAGTGGAGGATGACCCAAGTCCTTGGGCCCTGCACCCCATGGGAGACCAGGCTAGGTACCTGGCTCCTGCCATTGGATTGGCGCGGTGTGCCGGCTGCAGTGTGCCGGCCGCGGTGGCCATTGTGGGGTGAACCAACGGCAAAGGAAGACCTTTCTCTCTGTCTCTCTCTCTCGGTGTCCACTCTGCCTGTCAAAAAAAAAAAAAAAAAAAAAAAAAAAAAAAAAAAACCCTAACACAAACTGCATTTTTATTTGGCGAAACTGAAGTGTTGAGTTAGTTTCCATTTGAGATGGAACCAAGTAGCTCCTTGAACACAAATGCACGTGCATGACAAACCTAAGTATTAATGGTCTCAGAGAAGGAGCCCTTTGCAAATAGCAGCAACAGCACAACGGAATGAACCAGCAGACATACCTGTGTTCATTCAGCCTTGTCAAAGACAGAAAGTGCTACTTTTATCTCAGAAGAAGGAACGTGCGTGTGTATGTGTTTATGTGAGTGCTGGTACACAATGGTGTGTATTAATATTTCTAATTATGCGCTTTTATAATTTCACCTCACCCCAGTTAGAATGGCTTTCATATAGAAATCAACAAACTATAAATACTGACGAAGATGTGGGGAAAAAGGTATCCTAATCCACTGGTGGTGGTAATGTAAGCTAGTACAG